TTGGCACTCCTGGTTTCTCTTGCCGTTCTTTCACTTCTCAGTACAGTATTATTGGAGGGTTCTCTGCCCATTTTCAGTATCAAAAAGAACTGTCTCAACAGAACTGTAAACCACATTGAGCAGTGCCTCTGCTATATTAATTTTTGAATCCCTTAATGTTGTACAGTGCTTTGCCTATAGCAGGTATTAAAAATATTTTGTCAAGGGCCAGGGATTTAGCTTAGCAGTTCCTCTGCCTGCCTCGCAAGCTCAAGGTCTCCAGTTCGATTGCTGGTGCCAAGAAAATTTTTTTTTGTTAAAATAATTTGTATATTGATAAGAATAGCACATATCACTTTCTGTTTCTTCTTTTTGTGGTGCTGGTGATTTAACCTGGGGCCTTGTACATGCTACGCAAGTGTATTCTACCATTAAGCTATCTCCCCAGCCCTTTATTTTGAGGCAAGGTCTCACTAAATTGCCCAGGTTGGGCTCGAACTTGGGATCCTCCAGCATAAGCCTCCAGAGTAGCTGGCATTACAGGTGTGTGCCATCACACCTATCACATCTTTTTTTCTTGAGATCTTGTGCTCAGAACTCAGCCATCATGCCAACGAGAGAGACCAAGCAGCCCGTGAAGAGGTCCTCACGGAAAGGCCCACAGGGAGCAGTGTGGTCCCTCACCCTCACCCCTGACTGAGCTTCCAGCTGACAGTGAGCACCAGCTTGCCAGGAACATGAATGAGTCATACTGGAAGCAGAACCTTTTAGCACCCAGTCAAGCTACTCCAGCTGAGACCTTTGAAATACATATAAACCTTCCTCATGAGAGCAACTCAAACTGAAGATTCATAATTTGTTTTAAGTCACTACATTCTGGGCGACTTATTTATTATGTACAAATAATAACTGGAATATAATTAAAATAAGTGCTATATGTTATTTATTATTTTATTTTAAGAAGACGCAACACTTCTGCTCCACGAAAAGAAAGCCATGGGGGTATATTCAACATGCCTAGCTTCAATGTGAATATTAATCCTGATTTAGTAGAGAAGCTGGGCTGAAAGAGGAAAGAATGGGGTGACTAGAGAGGAAAATGGGATGAAAAATAGGAAAAAAAAAAAAAAGAAAATGATTTCTCAGACTTTACATACCAGGGAAAGTAAGAAAAAAAAGAAAAGTGTGCTACTTTGCAAAATAATAACACCGAGATGGTCATCCTTCTAGATCACAGAGATGGTCTAGAGAGCTAGGAGGCCTACTTTAGTAAACAGTATGAGTTTTAGAAATAAAGGAATTCTTTAGTCCAATCTCTTATTTTCATAATTGAAAACAAACAAAAATACCTGGAGAGGAACATGAACAGATGATGAGTCCAAAGATTGTTATTAATTATTTCACAGTGCTTTACCAGAGCTCTGCTTTGAATTTAAAGGCAAGGGCTGGGGATTTAGCTCAGTGGTTCTGGTGCCTACCTCGCAAGCGCAAGGTCCCAAGTTCAATCCCCAGTACCAAAAAAAAAAAAAAAGTATGCCATGAATTTAAAGGCAAAAATCTGCCCCTCAGTATGGGGAAAGGGTGTAGGGCAGTGGTAATACAAGTAAAGAAGCAGTGTCTCATCTCCCATGAAAATGAAGATGCTCCTGGATTCTCAAACACAAGTCTCATCTGAGAGCCATGGAGATCAAGCTCTTAGTGAAAGGGCAAGAAAACTCAAAGCAAGAAGATGGATGGAAAGAATAGTGCCTGAGGTTACCTCACTGAGGGTGGCCAGAGTTATTTTTTCAAAATAAGAAGGTCTACAGAAAGTACCATTTGAAGAAAGCAGGGTACGGGGTACTCAAGTAGAATGGGGTCATGGGAAGAGGGTATCATTCTTTCACCTCTTCCTTCTTTACCAAATACTCAACTTGCTTTCAGACTGGCAAATTCAGGGGCTCTAACTGTAGTACTAGAAAGAATTAACTAGGAAGGCCTTATCCTCTGCTGGTCACTCACTCACTCCTCTCAGGGAGAGTAAGCCCTTGCTACACCATTTATTATACTCCCAGGTAGGACAAAGTACCTAAAATGCCAAGAAGTGGGTGAGTACAGAACTCTGGGATACTTACATCCATAATTTGGACATAATAGTATTTGTTTCTATAGTATAATTTTGTTAAAGTTAGTGACAAGTGGATTTCATACAGATCTTAGGTTCATGAATTTTTATCAATTTGATCAATTATGATAAATCTATGTGATTAATTTGATAAGTCTATATAATAAATCAACTAAAACTATACTTAAAATCCTTAGCAATTACTCCAGAAAAATAATATGCACAGGAAACATGAACATGATACAGGGTATTATACTGTATGTTCAAATTAATACGTCAAGACTTCTTGTAAAAGGCAGAGCACAGAGGTTTGCAATTTAAGAGACAATTTTGCAATTCAGGCTGCCTTCAAATCAGTCATCTCAGTGATCAAGATCTGTCACAAGAACAGTAAGTACAATGCTTATTATGTTCTTTAGCTAGTATTTTATTCACCCTGAATACAAGTTTCATGCATAACACATATCTGATCATCAGAACTGAAGTGCTATGTTGTTTAATACTCAAAGACAAGACTCAACATTCTAAAGCTATGAAGTTGTTAGACCAAAAATCAATTAAAATTTAGTTTTATGATTAACCAGACAGAAATAGTCATTTAAAAAAAATACTTAAAACAGAATCAAGATCCCTCTTGGTTGCAGGGAATACTGTGATCCACTAAGTATACACGAGATATAGGATACTTCATTGATGTCACATGACAGTTGGAGGAGGACAGCTATTCAGAGCTACTACCAAAAACCTGATGCAAACCAAAGTATAAAATCTAAATATTCTTTAATTATATTTATGTGGTCAACTATTGTATTCCAATATGTTAGCAGTATAATCTCTGAAATCTGTCTCCTCACACACATATACGCACATGTGCATACTCACACATTTTTAAAATGTTGAGGTATCCAAGGTAATTTCAGTAAAGACAATTCATTTTCCTTGGCAAGTTTTAAAAGCCTAAATGAATTTATTGTGAAAAAACAGAAAAGGCAAACAGGTCCATGAGTATACTGGTATCATTTAGAATATAAGGGACAGAAAATAGTAACTTAGGAAGGAAAAAGTGAAAAAATTATCCTTTTACTACAATTCTAATTATGGAAAAATCAAAGCATGATGGAACAGTCCTTCTGTGGTTTAAAAAATTTTTTAAAAACAGTATTTTAATTTTATTTTACTATTATTATTTTTTGAGACAAGGTCTCACTATGTAATTCTGGCTGGCCTTGAACTTGTGGTAATCCTCTTGCCTCAACCTCCTGAGTGCTAAGATTACAGCAATGACCCACCACGTCCAGCAATAATTTTAAAAGAATTTCACATAAAGACAAACATAGCCAAGTATATGCTCTGATAGCACAATCCATGATACAGCAAAAGGATTAAAACCCTGATGCTGTAGTATCAGAGCTCATTAGTTTAATGGTGCTATGGTCAAAAACCCCGAGGCATTATTCATTGTTTCTCTAGTTTTTAGGCACAAAATCAGGAATTTCACTTCACTGCAACATTTTAAAGAAAGGCCTTACAGCAACATGACCAACTCTTCTCATCTCAGGGGACAACATCCCTGTTTCACATCCTCTGGACAGAACTGTTTCTGGAAAGAGTGTGTGAACAAGCAAAGGTCTCATGCCTCTTTCAGAGATCCCAGTTCAGCGTACAGAGAAACGAATCCTGAAAATTGCCGCTGTTGTGCTGTAAGAATGGAGGCCCCACTGGTGAGTTTGGACGAAGAGGTTTTTTTTTTTGCTACTGGGGAATCAAACTTGGGTCCTTGCACCTGCACAGCAGGTGATGAAACCACTGAGCTAAATCCCCAGCCCTGGACGAAGAGTTTGAGGACCTTTGACTCTGCTACTCGGAGGAGCAGGAGAAGCAGCCCCACTGTTTCTATGGCTCGTCTCCCCACCATCTGGAGGACCCCTTCCTCTCTGAGCTGAAGAATTTTTCTTTTGAAATAATCACCTTCAAGTCCATGGAGGACCTTGTGAATGAATTTGACGAGAAGCTCAATGTGTGCTTTTGGAGCTACAATGCCAAGACCAAGAACCTCGCTCCGGTGAAGAACCAGTTACAGATCCAAGAGGAGAAGATGACCTTTCAGGATGAGGAGGTTTGGGATGTACTGACAGTTACATTCCTTCACTCTGGGAAGACTGGCGGGACCCAAGCATCAAGGCTCTGAAGGGCAACAGTTCTGACACCAAGATCCATGAGAAGGAAGAGGAAGAGTTCAATAAGAGTGAAAATGACTCTGGAATCAATGAGGAGCCTCTACTCGCAGCAGATCGGGTAACTGAGGAAACTGAGGAAATGATGCAGAACTCCCCAGTCCCTGAGGAGGAAGAGGAGGCAGGCAGACTCGGTCCTGCTGCAGGAGGTGCAAGCCTTGACACAGACCTTCAACAGCTGGTCCTACAAAGGTGAGGCCCTGGGTGGGCTGGCTGAGGATAATGTGCCAGCACGGTAACACATGTGACAGAACCCAGTCGCTGCCCCAGTGCAGAAGCTTACACATCCAGAGGGTGGGTGGCACCCTCCTTCCTCCTCCACAACAGGAGGGAAGTGAGTGTTTTTATAAATGAAAAGGTAGTCAAGCAGAATGTAAGTGGTAAAGCTAACCAAAGAACAAAAACTAAAGGAAAAGTAGAACTCGAAACCACTGTTGAAAAGCAATGGATGATGCTACCATAAAATCAATGAAAAAAATACAAATGGTAATAATAATTTAAAAAAGAAAGGTCTTACATATTACTATTACTGCTAAGAGCACACAAAAGATTTCTAAAGCTGGTCACAAAGATCAAGAGAGCTATCCTTCATTGTTTATGTAGGACTCAATACTTCCTCTCTGTAATTAATTGGAGACTTTATACAAATACAAAATAAACTCTCAGAAATGGTAAAAATGTACCTGGTCCCTGTTGTTGATGTTTGAATAAGGTAACTGCCCAGTCATCAGTTCATATAGAACAATCCCAAATGCATATACATCAGATTGAAAGCTGTACGGGTTTTTATCTTGCATTCTGATTACTTCTGGTGCCTGTAAGAACATAAGAAGAAATGAGGCTTCAGCTGAATAAAAGACTGAAAATGCAAACTGCAATTCCCAGAGCAATGTTTAATCATTAAAACCCTTTTATGTAATTAATTCTCTTATTAATGGACAAATAAAGCCCATTATGAACCCTTAAAGATGCTGTTTGTACTGAGATTCCAAAATGCATCACTAAGAC